AGAAGGGATCTCATCGACCAACGTCTTACCGGCACTGCTATCCTCACAATCTCGGGCACCCTCGTCCAAAAAAATGAATACGGAGGGAATCCAACGAACGGCGCTAATGACATTCCTGGCCAAACAGTGGGCCTGGAAAGCGCACATCTGGACCATCAGCAAAACGTTTGTAGCACGGCCCCTGCCATGCGCGAGGGCGACCGACATATTATCACAAAGGAGCAGCTGCCTCATATCACGGACGTGTGCGCTGGTCACGACACGGGCGAATCCTTTGAGTAAGGCTCGAGCTTCCTTGGCAAGAGTGCCCTCTGCCATTTCTGCGCTCTCGCTAATCGCCAGAAGTCTGACTTCAATGGGTCGGCGGGCGCCCCAGTGAAAGACTGGTCGACCTCCCAGTCTCGCGCCGCCTCCGAGGGCGGCTCGTGGCTATCTCGCGTGTCAGCCCCGGAGGCGACCGACCAGCTGCCGTCCGCCTGCCGCCTGGAGCCCGCGGTCTCGAGGGCGCTCTCCCTGGCCCGTTGGGGTCCGATCCGCCGGAAGCGCAGGCGCTTGGAGGTGCGGCCCGCCGCCCTCGCGGCCTGCAAGGGCCAGGAGGCCTGCGCCACGGCGTAGCCCACAAGGCTGCTGTCGGCCTCCTCCACCAGGTCGTTCCAACCGCGCAGCCAGTCGCTCGCCATGAAGATCATGGGGGGCCTGAAGACGCGCAGCTCCGCCCGGCACTCGTCCCACAGCGGCTCAGCCCTGCCAGAAGCGCGCCCGCGCTCCGCGCACGCGTGGGCCGAGTGGAAGACGCTGATCAGCCCACGGCAGCAAAGGGCGACAAAAGTACAGCGGCCGAGGACGACCTCCACAGACCAGGCGCTGGTCCGCCTGCGCCTCAGCAGCGCCTCCAGCGCCGCGTAGATGCCCCAGAAGCGCTTGGGCGTGACGCGCGCCCTCAAGGCGGCGCCGTCCAGCTCCGCGCCCAAGGCGACGATGTCCGCCCGCGAGAGCTCGGACTTATGCAGCAGCAGGCCCTCGCGGTTGAAGCCCTCCTCCTCCAGCTGCTCGAGCGTCCTGCCGACGGCCTGCTCGCGGACCCCGATCGCGCCGAGGTTGTCCACGTGCGCGTAATGCCCGATCCTGCAGACCTCCTCTGCCAGCCCAGGCTTCTTCGCCAGGGGCGGCCCGCGGTCCTGCAATGGGGTGCCCGGCAGCGAGAGCGCAACCCCCGTCGCCGTGGCATCGTTGATCATGGGCCCATGGCAGGACGGCCCAGCACGGGGCCACCGCCTCCGCGCGGCCGAGTCGGCGGCCGTTCGCCTCCGCACCCGTCGCTCCCATCACGTGGGCCGGCGCCGGGGGGGGGCAGAAAGGGTCAGACAGCCGCGCGGGCGCGCGCGGCCGATGGGGGCAGTGGGAGACGTCGGAGAGCCTGATCGCACTGTAGAGGTCGCCCAGCAGCTCGACAGCCCGATCGGGGCCCAGCGGCGCGTCGGCGGGCAGCTCTACCTCGTTGTGGGCGAGCCCCTCCGAGCTCAGCAGCGACGCGCCTGGCGGAGCCTTGAAACGCTCGTTGGCCCGCCTGGCGTCAACGATGAGCCGCTGGGCCGCTCCGCCGTCCTTCTCCGCCGTGAAAAGACCTACCTGGCACTTCGGGGTGGGCGTCCAAGATGTGATGCCAATATCCGCCAGTCGGCGGAGCAGACGATGATACTCCTTCCGATTGAACCTCAACGCAGGATCGAAATGGGGGATGGCCTCATGCACGTCGGCCGATGGCGCCAGCCCGTGCTCTTGATAGTCCCCCAGAAATCTGATGCCCTCAGGGGGCGCCGCGCCAGTGATCAGCGGATGCTCCCGCGCCGAGCCAGGAAGGCTCACGAGGTCGAGCATGAAGGGCGTGAGCCTTGTCGGACAACCCGCAGCCTGATACGGGGAGTGCCCCTGAAACAACTTCTCGAGAGCCACCTCGTCGCTGAGGTTGGAAGGGCGCGGGTGCCAGCTGTCAGCCAACTCACGCGCCCTCCGCTGGGCGTCGGCCTGCATCGCGTCGGGCAACGACGTCGGGGCCGCGATCAGCCCACAACAAATCCTTACTGCCAGCCATCCAGTTCAGTGCTGTCAGCGCGTCGTTCGCCATGGAGAGGCGACCTCGCCCGCGCCCGGGGCGCGCCGAGTCTGGCGGCAGCAGCGGAAGCGGGAACAGGCTTCGCTGCCCCCGCGAGGCCGCCAATCTGGGGCGGCCACCAGCCAGCCCCCTGAAGCGGGCCGAGGTCGGGGGACCCCCCAGCCAGCGGGCCCATCATTGGGCCCCGGGGGCGCCGGCGCCGCGGCCTCGGCCTCGTCCGCCGTCGCCGCGTCCTCGGCCGCCCCCGCCTCCTGCGCCCTCCTCGCCGCTGCCCCCGCGGCCGCCTCCTCGGCCGGCGCCGAGGCCATCCTCGTGGCCTCCAGTTGGGGCGCCCCGCAGCGCCTGCTGGCCTTCGCGATCCTCGCGCACCTTGCGCGCCGCGTGCGCCCGCGTCGACGGCCTGGCAACGCCCTCGGCCGACTGCGCCCCCGCGTAATACTTTGCTACCTCCCGCTGCACGCGCTGCGGGTTGGGGTGCGCGGCCACGATGCCAGCCAACCGCTTGCAGAGCACCTGCAGTACCATCAGCCCTCCCGTTCACCTGGTCGTAGCAGCCCGCCATGTACAGCGCCTCGCAGATGCAGCGCAACTCGTGGGCCACCCGATCCGTGTTGGCGAGGCCTTTTTTCACGGAGGTACTCTCTAAGCCACAGCCGCGGGTCGCCACCGACCCTCAGCGTGCCCTGGAACGTCGTGAGGGCACTGGGCGGCGCGTCCAGCGGCTGGTCGCTGAACTCCTCCTGCGTGCTGTCACGGGCCGCCTCGCGCCAGGGTTTGAAACGTTCTCCCTGATCGTCAAAGTCCATCGCCAGCAGCCTGACCTCCTCGCTCTTGATCGGCGCAGCGGCCCCCGCAGCGGAGGGCGGTCCCTCAGGACCTGACAGGGGCGGCTGGCCCAGGCGGTCGCGGAGGTCAGCCTCCGCGCCAGCAGGAGCCGCATCCAGCAAACTACGAAGGCCGGCGGTCCGCGAGTCGATGTAGGCCGGCACGTCCTCTGCTCGCATCTGCACCACGCGCCCTCTTCCAGGAAAGCCAGGCCATCCCCGCCAGTCGCCTCAACGAACGGGACGCGGCGAATGTCCACCTCGCTGCCTATGGCCGAGGAGGCAGGCCCCGCCAGCAACCCGACATGCCCAGCCCGCAGCGGCAGCGGCCGCGTGGCAAGCGCCGTCTCCCCCTCAGGGCCGCGCGGGGTGTCAGTACCACCGACCGCGTCTGGCAGCCTCGGCGGCTTCGCTCTAGCCTCGGTCAGCGGCTGCTTGCCCCGCACGCGCCAGCCCAGAGCGGGCGGCGGGAACCCGCCGCCGGAGAGCCGCGCGATCGGCGCCAGCTCGCCGCCAGGATCCTGCGCGAGCTCCGGCGCGATGGGGCGCTGGCCCGCGCGGCACTCGGCTTCGCAAGCACGCTGGCCTCGCAGGATGCCCTCACGCAGCTCTGTCAGCCCGAGCCTCTCAGCAAAACGGTAAAGCTGCCGACGTCGACGCCCGCGCCCCGCAGGCGGAAGCGAGCCGTCCGCTGGCAGCAGGCTGCACCGCACTGGGCCGTCGCTGGCGTCCTGGCCTGCAACGTCCTGGAAGTCCTCGTCGCCGTCGGGAGTCCTGGTCCACCAGGCCCCGCCGCCCAAGGGGAAGAGGAGTACGCGCTCGTGGTCCCCATCATCACCGTCGTATTCCATCGAGACAAACTGTCCCAGGACCAATTCAGTGTACCACTCCTCCTCGCCGAACGGGAGGAGCGCCATGTCGTACCGCAGCGGTGCGGCCTCGCGCGCGCCAGCAGCTCACTGCGTAGCCGACGAGGTGGGTCAATACCGGCGGGCCCAGGAACCAGGCCAGCTGCTCCGACTGCGAGGGCCCAAGCAGCTCCACCTGCGGGCATGCGCAGGCAGGGCAGGCCAGCAGCCAGGCCGGCGCGCTCTCGGGGCACCAGCCCTCGGACGCCGGCGCGGCCGCAGGCGGCGGCGGGGGCCACGACCCAGCCTGCCACGCGGGTGCCCAGCCGAGCTCGGCCGCGCGCCAGCTGATCCAAGCAAACCCCACCGCGAGGACCGCGAACGGGGACCTGGCCGCGCTGCCGGCCGGGGCCATGGGCGCCTCTTAAGCGAGAAAAAGAGGCTTGAGCATAGGTGATGGCAACAGGAGACATCATGCAACGAACGGCTCCTGTCCCAGGACATTTGGGGGAGCACATGTTCAATATCTCTTTTCTTCAACTGGTGGAAGATCATGACAGCAGGAGACATCACTCGACCAATACCCCTCACCTTCTCGTGCAAACACACACACACATATATATATATATATATACACACAAGTATATGCGTTTGCAGCTGCAAATCAATGCGCACATGCATTCGCATATAGCTATAGGTGTGCATGCACACACATACCAGTGTGTATACTTATGCATCGTGTTGGTGAAGTGTGTGTGTGTGTGTGCACATGCATGCATTTGTTCATGTATACATATGCATACATACGCATGTACATGGATGCGTGCATGCACATGTACATGCACGTGTAAAAGTATATTCATACGTGTAAGTGCAAACAAATGCATCTGCACATGCCTATGTAATGCACATGCACATGTTTCTGTATTTATACAGGAATAAGGGTATGTACGCCTGTATGTATGTATGCATGTGCGCATCGATTTATGCTTGTAGATCTGTATGTACGCATGTATGTGTATGTATGTATGTGTGCAGGTATGTATGTATGTACGTACGTATGTATGTATGTATGTCTGTATGTTTGTATGTATGGATGTATGCATATACAGATAGAAGCATGTAAATCGATATTATGCGGCGGATGATTATGGTGACGACGACCATGATGATGCTGCTGCCGATGATGACGATGAGGAGGACGGTGACGATGAGGAGGGCGAGCACATTCCCATCGGGCGAGAATGTTGCGTTAACGTTGCCGGTGGCGCACGGCGTCAGCGGCCGAGCCCGAACGCGGGGCGCGCGCTGCGCGCTTTGGCCGCAGCGCTTTGGCCGCGGCGCGGCAGGGCTCCGCGTCGCCGCCCCGAGGCCCCGAGGTGGGGGGGATTGGGGGAGGGGAAGGGGAAAGGGGGGGCTCTTCCTCCTCCTCCTCCTCCTCCTCCTCCTCCTCCTCCTCCTCCTCCGCCTCGCCTTTCGCTGCTCTCTCCTGTTTCCCTCCGTCCTCCCTTCCCCTCCCCTTCTCCTCCTCCGCTCGTTCTTCCATCCTCTTGTCTGCCTCCCTCTGTCCTCCTCCTTTTCCTCCTCCTCCTCCTTCTGCTCCTCCTCCGCTCGTTCTTCCCCCCTCTCTCCCCAATCTTCCTACGTTCGTGCCTCCCTCTCCCCCTCCTCCTCCTCCGCTCGTTCTTCTCCTCCTCCTCCTCCTCCTCCTCCTCCTCCATCGCTCTTCCTTATAAGACTCCTCCCGTAGCACCCACAGACGTGCCAACAATTAGGGCGGGCCAGGCGTTTCGCAGGGTACTTTTTTAAACTAATAAAAAGCCATCTCTGATCCTGAAGCCTGAAATTTGCAACAGCCTCAGGGATGGAGGGCGGGTCGTTTGCAACATGCGGCTCTCGCCTGAGCGCCGCACACATTCGTCTGAGAAGTTTGCAGCAGCTTCAAAGCTGGATGGTGGGTCCTTTTCAACATGTTGCCCTCGCCTGGGCGCCGCGCACATTCGTCTGGCAAGTTCTCAACACTTTCCAAAATGGAGGGCGGGCCAGTTCCAAGCTGTGACTCTCGCCTTAGCGCCGCGCACTTTCGTCCGAACAGTTTGCCTTTCAAGGCTGGAGGGCGGGTCCTTTTCAAAATGTGGCCCTCGCCCTTACGCCGCGCTCATTCGTCTTGAAAGTTCGCAGCAGTCTTTGGAGGATGGAGGACGGTTGATTTTCAACATGTGGCTCTTTCCTCACTGCCCCGCACATTTCTCTCAAACGTTTCGAGCAATTTCACGGATTCGTAAGGCTGAAGTCCCAGGACTGGTGTTCTGGCACGACTTAGGATTGTCAAGACGCAGCAGTCACGTCGATCCGCGGCGATGCAATCCCAGGAATGGTGTTCTGGCACGACTCACGATTTTCGGAACGCAAGAATCAAATTGATTCGCGGCGTTGAACTCCCAGGAATTGTGTTGGCACGACTCGGGATTCCCCGTCGGTTGTCTTTCAATGGAGCACCTCCTGCCATGAAGATACATCTTTCTGGGGATCTGTGAAGAGGGAGCTTGGTGGCCGGGTTTATTGCAACATGGTTGAGGCGTCTTGGGTTTGCACTCCTTCTCCTCCACCGTTTCTCTTCTCCTCCACCTTCTCCTCCACCGTTTCTCTTCTCTTCTCTTCTCTTCTCTTCTCTTCTCTTCTCTTCTCTTCTCTTCTCTTCTCTTCTCTTCTCTTCTCTTCTCTTCTCTTCTCTTCTCTTCTCTTCTCCTCCTCCATCCTCCTCCTCTTTCTCCTCCTCCTCCTCCTCCTCCTCCTCCTCCTCCTCCTCCTCCCCCTCCTCCACTTGATGATCTTTCTCCTTCTCCTCCATTTCCCTTTTCCTCCTGCGCCCGCCTCTCTGCGCGGGGGGGGGGGACGAGAGGCCTATCCATACATGAAGTGGAGCTGGTCGACACGGGCCCTGGGCCCCCGGGGCTCTCTTCTCCCTGGGGCCTGGTTCTGTTCGGGGATCTGCTGATCCGGGTCAATCCTCACCCGAGGGAAATCGGGCCTTTCAGCATCCTGCAGGATCCTGCACCCAAGCCCGGGTCAACGCGACCCTGGCCCTGCAGGATCCTGCAAGATCCTGCAGGATCCTGCACCCAAGCCCGGGTCAATGCGACCCTGGAGCTGCAGGATCCTGCAAGATCTGGCGCTCTGGCTGACCCCCGTTTGCATCGACCCCCGTCCCTTGAGCCTCGACCCTTGTCTGGGCCGGTCTTCCGGCCCTCCAGGGGAGGGTCCCGCCCCTGGGCCTCCGAGAACGGCAAGCAAAACTCCAAGACCCCCCCCCATCAGGATCCCCATCTGCTCCATGCCGAGGGCGGGCGGGAGGGCGGGGAGGAGGGTGGTGGGTGCAACAAGTGGAGGGGGGGGGGGGAGGAGGAGGAGAGGGAGAGGAGGGGGGTAGGATGAGAGAGGGAGGAGAGGGAGGAGGTGTAGAGGGAGGAGGAGAGGGATGAGGAGGGGATGGGTGCAACAAGAGGAGGAGGAGGAGGAGGAGGAGGAGGAGGAGGAGGAAAAGGAGGAGGAGGAGGAGGAGGAGGAGGAGGAGGAGGAGGAGGAGGAGGAGGAGGAGGAGCGGGATGGGTGCAACAAGAGGAAGGCGCGACGAGGGTGGCCGCCCTCGCAGGCTGCGCTGCACGGGGAGAACACAACAAAAAACAACGCCCCTGGTGCAAGCACGCCCTGGGCGGTTGCCGCCAGAAGCCTCCGAGCTCTGATTCGTGACGGGGCGCGCAGCCCGCGACGCGTCGCGGCCGCCAGGTCGCCTAGTGCGAAGCGCTGCCGCGACGCTTCGCCGCGAAGCCCCGAGCGGGTCCAGAAGATGGGAACATGCCATGAGCGTGAACTTTCGGAGGCCCGCGCGGATTTCTTGGATCGGCGCTGAACCCGCCTCCATGTCGCTCGGAGCGCGCCAGGGGCAGCGCTGGAGGCGCCGCAAGGAGGGTCTGGCGCCGATCCAAGAAATTCGCGCGGACCTTCCAAAATTTGTATGCTTACACAGCTCTTCCTCCCTCGAGGGTCGGCCCTAGGCCTCTGCCGTCAGAGACACCGAGCTTAGCTCGCTGTCGGTGTCGGACCACGCGAGGCGTGAGGGGTTCCTGCACCTCCTGGGGCTGCCGCCGCTGCTCTCCTGCACCGTCTGGGACGTGCTGCTCCCCCCGCAATCCCACGTGCCCGGCGCCTGGGCTTTGCAGTCCTGGCGCGCGCCTCCCTGCGAGTGCCCGCCGCCGGACTTCTGAGAGCCGCCGTGCATCTCCCTTCTCAGGTCGCTGGCGACGGAACGCCAATAGTCGCGCTCCATCCGAAGGCTGTCGAGGCAGGTGCTCCTGTCATCCCCCGCGGCGGGGACGGGCATGACTGGTGCGCCCGCGGCGCGCAGAGCTGAGGCCTCCAGCGGCACCTGTGCTGTGGGCGTCGCCGCGGCGGCCGGCGGCGGCAGGGCGCCACCGCCGAAGCTCGCCAGCGGCCGCGCGGACGAGGTGCGCGCGGTCAGTGCCCCGGAGGGGGTGCCCTCCCAGGGGCTGTCCATCGGCGCCCACGCGGCGGCCGGGCAGTGCATGGCGCCCACCGCCTCTGGCGGGAACGGCCGAGGCGCGGGCTCGTGGCGGGCGAGCGTGGCGTCCTTGGGCGTGATCATGTCCATGAAGGGGCCCGTCCAGAACGCGATCTGCTGCTGCTGCTGCCGGATGAACAGCGCGCGCAGGGACTCGCACTCGCGCTGCGTCGCGGCGAGGTCCGCACCGAGGTGCTCGCGGCACCGCTCCGCGTTCTCGACGCGCTCCGCGCTCTTGGCCCGGACGCGGTGCAGCTTGCGCCGCAGGGAGGTGTTCTGCAGCGCCAGGTCGCGCAGCGTCTGCGGGCAGCCCTTTTCGAACTGCAGCTCGGTCAGCGACTCCAGATCCTTCAGGGCAAGGCTGCCGCTCTCGCCCTCCCACCCCCCCGCACTCTGCGCGCCGCCGGCAGGCGACGTGGCAGCCACACCCGTCTGATAATAGCCAGGGGGGCGAAAAGGAAATCATACGATCAGGAACAGCTGGCTCCTGGCCCCGATTCGTCAAACAAAAGGTTTCGCCGGCCTGGTTGCCCCCACAATAGGGCACGAGGCCGCCAACAGTTTGCGATCCATACCCTTGAAGCATAAGATGTTTTGACTTCCTCCTTCTCCTCCCCCTCCTCCTCCTTCTCCTACTCCTCCTCCTTCGCTTTCTCCTCCCCCTCCTCGTCGTCCTCCTCCTCCTCCTCCTCCTCCTCCTCCTCCTCCTCCTCCTCCTCCTCCTCCTCCTCCCAGTCGCCGCGGTCGTCCGCGAAGGCGATTGGGCCGACGGGAAGGACGGACGACAATGAAAACGACGACGACGAGGACGAGGATGAGGACGGTGGCGACGACGGACACGACGGCGACGACGCACTGCGGATGCCCTATGGGGGGGGGGGGCGGGGGGCGTGCTGCGTAGTAATGTCTAACAACAATTTTGAAAACAAGCCTGGGGGGACAGTTAAACAAATACTTATTCGCGGCGCTGTAGTGCGCATGTAGAAAACAACAAGAAGAAGGCGGGGCAAACGGCGGGACCGCCGGGGACGTCCCCGCGACCGACCTGGCACTCCGCGTCCAGGGGCAGATTCCTGCGTTGGGTTCGCGCGGGGTGCAAGTCTTTAGAGACCCCTTGCGTCAACGACGATCGGCGCCGACACTCGGCGCGTCAACGACGATCGTCGCCGACGGTTGGCACCGACGCTCGGCACCGACATTCGGCGACGACACTCGGCAGTTACACTCGGCGCCGGCAGTCAGCACCGACACTCGGTGCGCGCACTCACCACGAGTGCGCTCTCAGCCCCATCGCCTCGCCAGGGTGTACTCACCAGACTGCACTCTGGTGAATGCACTCTGGGCGTTCAAAAGGGGATGTCCAAAGTGCAGTGACCCGCGCATGGCGACTTTCCCATCGCGAGCGATACAAAAAACCGCCACGCGCGCGTCGATACATTCTAGGCTGCACCGATAGACGAAAATGTAAAGACCGCATTCCAACTTGGAAACCCAATCGGCAGCCGCTAGGAAAGGTTCGCTTCAATTCGCAGGTCAGCGCGGCGACGTTCCTATTCCGGACAAAACAGAAACCGCTACGCGAACGCGCGCGTCGGCGCATGGTAGACTGCACCAATGGACGAAAACGTAGAAAGACCGCTTGTTACGTGGAAAATCCTATCGGCGACCGCTAAAGGGTTCACGTACTTCTAGCTCCCAGACCAGCATGGCGACTTTCCTGATGCGGGCAACGCAGAAACCGCCACGCGAGCCCGCGCGCGTCGGCGCACCGTAGGCTGCACTAAGATACGACAACGTAAAGACCGCATGTTGAGCGTGGAGCTCCAATCAGCAAGCGCCAAGGTTCCACTTTACAAGCCAGCATGGCGACGTTCCTAGTGCTGACAATGCAGAAACCGCCACGCGCGCGTGTCGGCGCATTGTAGGCTGCACCAACCGACGAAGGCGTAAAGACCGCATGTGAAAATGGAAACCAAATCGGCAAGCGCTAAGGGTTCACGTTAGTTCCAAGGCCAGCAAGTCGATTGTCCGAATGCGGGCAAAACAGACACCGCCACGCGAACGCGCGCGTCGGCGCATTGTAGGCTGCACCAATGGACGAAAACAAAGCAGAAAGACCGCACGTTAAGTGGGACATCCAATCGGCAAAGGCTGCGGGTTCACGCCGCGCGCGCGCGCGTCAGCGGATTGTAAGCCGCGCCGATTTCATGAAAACGTAAAGACTGTATGTTACGTTGGAACACGAATCGGCAACCGCTGCAGGTTCGCTCGAGCTCGCAGGCAGCGTGGCGGCTCTCCGATTGAGGGCCGCCGCGCGCGCGGCGGCCCGCGCGCATCTTGCATGGGAAAACAGCACCATGCGCGAGGCGCGAGAAACGCCGCGCGCGCCGCGGCCCACGCGCATCTTGCATGGGAAAACACATTGCGCGAGGGGCCATGGACCGCTGCGCGCGCGGCGGCCCACGCGCATCTGGCATGTAAACAACGCAATGCGCGAGGCGCCAAGGGCCGCCGCGGGCGCGATGGCCCACGCGAGTATCGCATGATAAGCGCAACGCGCGAAGGGCCAAAGGCCGCTGCGCGCATCTTGCATGGAAAAAACGCAATGCGCGAGGGGCCCGGGCCGCCGCGCGAGCGATGGCCCACGCGCGCCTTGCAAGGACAAGCGCAACGCGCGAGTGTGCCAAGGGCCGCCGCGCGCGCGGCGGCCCGCGCGCATCTTGCGCGAATGCGCGCGCTGCGCGAGGGGCCAGAGTCGCCGCGCGAGCGATGGCCCACGCGCACATTGCATGTACAAAAACGCATTGCACGAATGTGCCATGGGCCGGCGCGCGCGCGGCGGCCCGCGCGCGTCTATTACCGAACCGCAATGCGCGAGGGGCCGGGGCCGCCGCGCGCGCAGCGGCCCACGCGCATCTTGCATGGACAAACAAAGCGCTGGGGCCAAGGCCGCCGCGCGCGCGGCTGGCCACGCGCATCTTGCATGGCAGATGCAAAATGCAAGATGCGCGAGGGGCCAGGGCCGCCGCGCGCGGCGCCCCACGCGCATCTTGCATGGAAAACCCAATGCGAAAGCCCTCCCGCGCGCGCGGCGGCCCGCGCGCATCTTGAATAGAAACACGCGAGGCGCGAATGGCAATGGGCCGCCGCGCAAGCGCTGCGGCCAACGCGAACCTAGTGTAGAACAACCAAATGCGCGAGGGCCACAGGGCCGCCGCGCGCGCGGCGGCCCACGCGCATCTTGCATGAAAAAACACAATGCGCGAGGGCCCATGCGCCGCCGCGCGCGCGGCAGCACGCGCGTCTTGCACGAAAAAACCACAGCGTGGTCGAGGGGCCAGGGCCGCCGCGCACGCGGCGGCCCACGCGCATATTACATGGAAAAACCAGGTGCGCTAGGGGCCAGGGGCGCCGCGCGCGCGGCGGCCCACGCACGTCCTGCAAAGAGGAGCACGATGCGCGAGGGGCCGTGGGGCGCATCTTAATTTTTTTTAATAAGAAAGCAAAACAAAACACGCAAAGCGCGCAGGGCCATGTGCCGCCGCGCGCGCGGCGGCCCATGCGCACCCTGTGCGGAAAAATCCATTCTGCACGAGGCGCCAAGGGCCGCCGCGCGCGGCGCGGCCCACGCGCGTTTTGCATGGAAAACCACAACGCGCGTGGGGCTATGGGCCGCCGCGCGCGCGGCGTCCCACCCGCACTTTGCATGGGCAAAAACACAACGCGTGATGTGAAATAGGCTGCCGCGCGCGCGCGGCGGCCCACGCGCGTCTTGCATGGAAAAAACAATGCGCGAAGGGCCAGGGCCGCCGCGGGCGCGGCGGCTCACGCACATCCTATATCCAAACACACAATGCGCGATGCGCGAGAGGCTATGGGCCGCCGCGCGCGCGGCGGCCCACGCGCAAATTGTAGACAAATCGGTGCGCGAGGAGCCATGGGCCGCCGCGCGCGCGGCAGCCTACGCGCACCTTGTATGGAACAACGCAACACAATGCGCGAGGGGCAATGGGCGGCTGCGTGCGTGACGGCCCCCGCGCATCCTGTATGGAAGAACTCACTGCGCGAGTGGCCAAGGCAGCCGCGCGCACGGCGGCCCACGCGCAGCTTGTACGGAAACACATACTGCGCGAGGGGTCATGGGCCGCTGCGCGAGCGATGGCCCACGCGCACCTTGTATGGAAAAACACCATGCGCGAGGGACCAGGGCCGCCGCGCCCGCGACGGCCCACGCGCGCCTTGTATACAAAAAATACAATGCGCGAGGGGCCGTGGGCCGCCGCGCGCGCGGCGGCCCACGCGCACCCTGCATGGAAAAACACAATGCGCGAGGGGCCAGGGCCGCCGCGCGCGCGGCGGCCTTGGCACACTGCGTGGGAAAACCTAACACTGCGCGAGGGGCAAGGCCGCCGCGCAAGCGGCCGCCATGGCCCATGCTGTGCGGGAAGCGTGCGCACGTATACCGTTCCAGTAGGACGAGAACTACTTATTCGGCAACCGGAACAGCCTATACATCTGCACGCAAGAAGTTCGAATGCAATTTCCAATGCGTGCGCGTGTGTGTATACGTTTACAATACACACGTATGTTCGCCCCCCGTGGAATATTCATCCACGGGGACAATTAAAACAAATCGGCCGGCGTATTAATGACACTCGGGATCCGGGGGGGGGCATCATTTCTTAAACAGGTTGTGGCCATTAGGCCCGCAATTGTGACGACAGACGACCACCACAGGGGGGCGGGCCCCCCGCTGTAGTCGACGACGACGACGACGACGACGACGGCGTCGACGACGACGACGACGGAAACGACGACGACGAGGATGAGGACGATGACGACGACGACGGACGGCGAGAACGACGACGAGGACGGGGGGGAGGATGTGGACGAGGACGATGAAGACGAAGACGACGACGAAGACCACTGCGGATGCCATATGGGGGGGGGTTGGCGTAGGCGTACGCCGTAGGCGATGACGACGACGACGACACCGACGACCGACGACCGACGACGACGATGACGACGCGACGGCGCCGCCGACAACGACGACGGATGAAAACGACGACGACGCACTGCGGATGCCCTATGGGGGGGGGGGTGCTGCGTAGGCCCCCCGCCGTAGTCGACGACGACGACGCACTGCGGATGCCGTATGGAGTGTGTGTGTGTGTACTGCGTAGGCCCTCTGTATTCGGCGACGACGATGCACCTATGGGGGGAGGGGTGCTGCGTAGGCCCGCTGTTGTCGACGACGACGACGACGAGGACGGCGACGGCGACGGCGACGACGACGACGACGGCAGAAAACTTGCTGGGGGGCCACACGATTAAATGATCAGTTCTGGCGGCTAGATTTTTATTCGGCTGCCCATCTCAATGATTTTGAGGCCCACGGGGGGGCAACTTTTAAACCGTTTGCTCCCATTCATGTCCATTCTGCCTCTGGCATGTGTTGTCTGTGCTTGGTTTTCGGGGGCACTTCCCGCCGCGGCGGCTGGGGTGCACCGGGGGAGGGGAGGAGGAGGGGGGGAGGGGGAGGAGGGGGAGGAGGGGGAGGAGGACGGAGGAGGGGGAGGAGGACGGACTGGGGGGGGGGCAATGCATCGCCCGATAGTTTGGCGACAGGCCCTCGATGGCAACTGGGGCCAAGCGTTCTCCCCCCCTGAACCTGCCCCGACATCTCGACCACTGCCCTGGGAGCGGCCTTTCACCCCATTTGACGGCCCTGGGGCCCAGCAAGGGCCCCGAGAGGCCGAAAACCATGAACAACCTCTGGACCACTGCCCCGGGACCGGATCAACTTTTGACGGCCCCAGGGCCCGGCAAGGGCCTCGCGAGAGGCCGAAGGCCACGAAGAACCCCACTTCCCCGGGAGCGGTCTTTCCGCCCCAGGTCCCTTTTCGACGGCCCCAGGGGCCTGGCGAGCGCCTCGCGAGGCCGAAAGCGGTGAAGCACCTCCGCCCCGATGCTTTCGAGACGCCCGAGCCGGGCCGGGCGGAGGAGGAGGAGGAGGAGGAGGAGGAGGAGGAGGAGGAGGAGGAGGAAGAGGAGGAGGAGGGAGGAGGAGGGAGGAGGAGGAGGAGGAGGAAGGCCGAAAGCGGTGAAGCACCTCCGCCCCGATGCTTTCGAGGCGCCCGAGGTTTGGGGCCGGGCCGTGGCCCCCCCCCCATGGCCTTGGCGGAGGGGCGGTCGCTGGCCGCGTCCGACGCCGAGAAGCGGAGCCTGCTGCTCGCCACGGAGGAGCGCGCCGAGGCGCTCAGGTCCTGCGCGCGCCCGCTGGCCGAGGGCCCCGCTCCTCCTCCTCCTCCTCCTCCTCCTCTCCTCCTCCTCCTCCTCCTTCCTCCTCCACCTCCTCTTCCTCCTCCTCCTCCTCCTCCTCCCTCCTCCTCCCCTCCACCTCCTCCACCTCCTCCCCTCTCCTCCCTCTCTCCTCCTCCTCCTCCTCCTCCTCCTCCTCCTCCTCCTCCTCCTCCTCCTCCTCCTCCTCCTCCAGGGGTGCAGTCGGACCGAGGCGTGAGGTCGAGGCCCGTTTGGGGAGGGTGCCGGGTTTTTTTGTCGAGGCGCCCGAGGTCTGGGGCGTCGGTGTGGGGCGGGTACCCTCGAGAGACCTTCGAGCTAGCTGGATGCTCTTGTGCATCCTGGGGAGGGTCGTTCACAGGGGCCAGCGACGCTACTACATAGGGCACCTGCCCTAGTGGCGTCGCTTTGCGCACTTGGGGGGTTCAAGAAAACGTTAACAGAAGCAGAAACGAAACACTGTAGAAGTCAGTTCTGTGGATTTGGCGGGCTTGGGGTGGAGCTACAGCGCCAGGGGTACGTCGCCCAGGAGGAGCCTGCTGCTCGCCACGGAGGAGCGCGCAGAGGGCGCTCGGGTCCTGCGCGCGCCCGCTGGCCGAGGAGGCCCCGGTGCTCGACGCCCTCCGCGGCGCACTGCTCGGCGTGCCGCGCCCCTCGGGGCGTCGACGGCTCAAGGCTCGGGTCCTGAAGGATGGGGCCCCTGCAGGGCCCAGACCCCCTCGGGCTCAGACCCCCTCGGGCTCAGGAGGAGGAGGAGGAGGAGGAGGAGGAGGAGGAGGAGGAGGAGGAGGAGGAGGAGGAAAAATCACGACGAGCGGTTTTTTCGCTGTGTTCGGCCTCTGGGGGCCCTTCCTGGGCCTCGGGGCCGTTAGGACTCACAGGCTGAAGAACTGGTCCCGGGGAAGGGGTCGAGACCTGTCTGTCTGTCTGTCTGTCTGTCTGTCTGTCTGTCTGTCTGTCTGTCTGTCTGTCTGTCTGTCTCTCTGTCTGTCTGTCTGTCTGTCTGTCTCTCTCTCTCTCTCTCTCTGTCACGCCGCCCCCAGAGCTGGCCGTGCGCGCGTGGTAGAAAAGATGCAGGCTCCCAGGACCCTGCAGGTCCTTCTCTGTCTCGGCAAGCACGATGTTGCATTTAGCAGCCTGATGCGGAAAAAGGTCATGATATATACCTTATGCAAATGTGTATCTGCGGAGCCCCTGAGGATGGGGCTCCGCAGAGGGGGAGGAGGAGGAGGAGGGGGAGGAGGAGTGGGAGGGGGAGGAGGAGGAGGAGGAGGAGGAGGAGGAGGAGGAGGAGGAGGAGGAGGAGGAGGAGGAGGAGGAGGAGGAGGAGGAGGAGGAGGAGAATAGAGGAATAATAACCAACACACAAACAGAAACTATCGGAGCTCCGCGCGGATCTCTGGGGTCGGCGCTAGACCCTCCACCCTCGCGCGCGGAGCGCGCCAGGGGGCTCAAGCGCCGATCCAAGAAATCCGCGCGGAGCGCCAACAATTTTCATGTTTATGCTTTTTTGGAAACAGTCGGCGGCGAGCCCAGGGGGAAGTGAGAAGGGGCGGGCCTTCTCAGAAGGCTCGGAAGTCCCCTGGCCTTCTGACAAGATTTCTGAGCCTCTCCCGAAAACAAACAAACCTCTCAAAGTCCAGAGGGCTTCTGAGAAGTCCCGCCGCATTCTGAGAGGGCCTTCTCCCTCTCACATCCCCCCTTCGCTCGCCGTCGAGACAGGGTTCCCAGGCTGAGCCTTTCACTGTTTGACGACCCCGTCCCTCTGGCGGGTGGTCCTTGGGGGTGTGGCCTAGATGGGGGGTGAAGAGAAAGGCCCTGTGCCGAGGGGGCCCCCTCCCTCGGGCCCCCGTCCTTGAGTCGCCGACCTCGGTGCCCCTCGCCGCAGGGGGCGAGGCCAGCGACGAGCGCGCCGAGCGCGGGGACTGCGACGGCGTGGCCTGCATGTGCGCGCGGGCGCCGGGGGGCGAGGCCTGCGCGGCGGGGATCTGGATGTAGTGCGACCTCACTCCGAGCTTCTCAACAAGCGTCGGGGGGCGTCACCCCCGCCGGCAGCCCCACATCGACCCCCGTCGCGGGCAGCCACCGCGCGCCGAAGGCGCTCCGACTCCCGTCGCGGCGCGAGGACGAGGCGAGGTTGACCGCCGACCTACCCCCCCACGCTTATGACGAAACCCAGGCTGGCTGCCCCGATACGGAACACGCAACGCGCAGCGTGTTGACTCGGAGCTCAACGCGCAGACTGAACGCGCAGGTCTGGCGCGGCACGTTCGCCAGAGCGTGGACCAGCGCGTGCCGAGCCAGCACGCGGCGTGTTCGCACGGTCGTTCTGAGCACGGCACGCGTTGCGTTGCACCACGGGCGTGTCAGGGCGGCTAAGAGTGGGACTTCCGCTGGCTGCGTATCAGCTTGGAGTCCGTGGCCATGGCCAGGGTGGAGAGCGTGATGGCCCGGTGGCGCACCAGCGGGCTGACGCAGAAGATCATCGCGATCCCGCAGCCTGGCCGCAGGTACTCCCACAGGCACTTGTTCAGCACGCTCTGCCTCCGCTCCGATCCGTCCAGGCTGCCCGTCTGCAGCTTGCGGAGCAACCGATTCAGGGACGAGAGCGACGTGTTCAGCAGCCTCGCCGTCCTCTTGCCCAGCTCGGACGGGTTCTCGTGCTCCTTCTCCGTCCCTGCCAGGTCCACCAGGGTGAGTGCGCCGACGGTGCTCTGCGAGCCGCCCTCTGGGCTCTGGTGCGGCACTCCGCCCGTGGGATTCTGCACGAAGAGGTGCACCACGGCGTGGGACCTGGACGAGCTCGCATTGCACGAAGAGACGCCCTCGGTCCGGTTCGCGCGGGCCTCGTGGAGGAGATCGAGGCAGGTCTCGACGCGGGTGACGCGAACGATCTGGTACCGGCACAGGTGCGTCTTAACGAAGAGCTCGTCGCTAACGACGTCCTCGCTGTGCAGGTCACCTTGGTGGCGCGCACAAGGGGATAAGGGGGAGGGGGAAGGCTTCTTAGAATGAGGCTGCTTCTTAGAAGGCGCCAGCCTTACATCTATAGATCAGGCCTGCGCCTTATGAGAAGCGTCCTGAGATCCGACGTTGCGAAAAAATGGCAACATCGCAAAACATCAAGACCAGCACCTTGGACCCGACCTTTCCGCGCCACTTTTCTTCCCAGACCGATCTGCGAGTGTCCTGGGGGGGGCCCGAAACGGGGCGAAGACGCCCGCTTGGAAAAACATGCGACGCCATGACCTCAGGGCAGCCTCCCTCCAAGTGGCCTTCCCCCCTGCCGACCCTAGGCTGAGGGGCAACGATTGGGGGCGACTGGCATAGGGGGGGATGCATCGACCTGGAATCGGCGATACATCGCCGATAGATCGGCGATGGGCCTCCCATAGTAGATCCGCACCCTCCTGGGCAGGTTGGGGCCATCGGGCTCCCATCGGCGATCAATGGGCGATGGGGGGTCGATGCGTCCCCCCCTGTGCCTATCGCCCCCTATCGTTGCCCCTGATAGGCACGAGTGACCTCTGGTGCGCGGCCTGCCGGCCGCTGCAGGCGGTGCGACATGCGGAGGCCTGCTCGGCTTGGGCGAGGCCTCGGAGCGCCCAGGCCGGAGGCCGCGCACCCGAGGCGGCTCCGGCGAAGGGCCACTCTTCCGGGTGCAGCCGCGTCGCAGGTGGCGGCGGCTGGGGAGTGAAGTCGCGCGGGGGCAGCGAAAGGGGGGAATAGCGAAGGGTATAGGGCAGAGAGTCAGCTCACGCACGTCGCTGATTTTGAAGGGGCCCTGGGACACACAAGTAAACACACACAATTATCCCAGTGCGACCCTACCTAGGAGTTGGAGCCCCTAGGAAAGCAGCATTAGTAGTTACAGTAAAGCTAAGCTAAAGCTAAGCTAAAGCTAAGCTGAAGCTAAGCTGAAGCTAAGCTGAAGCTAAGCTGAAGCTAAGCTAAAGCTAAGCTAAAGCTAAGCTGAAGCTGAGCTAAAGCTAAGCTGAAGCTAAGCTAACGCTAAGCTAAAGCTAAGCTAAAGCTAAAGCTAATACAAAGCTAAGTTAAAGCTGAGCTAAAGCTAAGCTAAAGCTAAGCTGAAGCTAAGCTGAAGCTAAGCTGAAGCTAAGCTAAAGCTGCTAAGCTAAAGCTAAGCTAAAGCTAAGCTAAGCTAAGCTAAGCTAAAGCTAAGCTAAAGCTAAGCTAAAGCTAAGCTAAAGCTAAGCTAAAGCTAAGCTAAAGCTGAGCTAAAGCTGAGCTAAAGCTGAGCTAAAGCTGAGCTAAAGCTGAGCTAAAGCTGAGCTAAAGCTGAGCTAAAGCTAAGCTAAAGTTAAGCTAAAGTTAAGCTAAAGCTAAGCTAAAGTTAAGCTAAAGCTAAGCTAAAGCTAAAGCTAAAGCCCCCAGGGGACTGGGGGAACCGCGGGGCGGGGACTGGGGGAACCGCCCGGGGCGTGTAGCACTGCCCGGCCCCTTTAAGCTAACAGAGTAAGAACCCTTCTAGGCAGAGCCTAGGTAGGGAAATAACCAGATTCCCAATACTTTCGCGTATTTTCTGGGTTTTCGTCTCCCCCCCCACTTCCCATATTTTCCCATATTTTCTAAGGAATCGAAGATTAATTGTGTCTGTATGTTTTTCTCCCTCCTGAGATTTTCCCGGCGCCTCCCCGTGACGGGCGGCGCCCACGTGTCGAGGAATCGGCCCGGCAGCGGGGCCGAAACCAGCTGCGTGCAGCAGATTCCGTGACCCCCGCTTTCCCTATCCCCCCCTCGGCCCGAGCTGGGGAGTGAATTCATGGGTGGGCGCGTCGTCGTCGTCGTCGTCGTCGCGCTGGCCGTGAGGCCTTCGCAATTAAGGGGCGATTTCGGAAACCCTAAACCCCCAAACGCTTTCATCTCTCAGGAGGTCGACTTTGGCCTCCGCCGCCTTCGGCCGGCCTTAGCTGGCGGAGGCGGCCTTCGTTTTGCTTCCGCCGACCTTCCGCCGTCTTTCCGCCGCCTTCCGCTGCGGAAGAGATGACAACTCCTTCGATCCTCCTAGGCAAGGCCCTATTTGGAACGTCTCAAACGGGGGGGAGAAATGTGCACGTTTGGGGCCTTGCAGGCTCCCTTGTGGGCCCTGAAAGCTCCTCCAGGGGCCCTCAAGGGCCCCTTTTCTACAGCCCTCGCTAGCGTGGCTGGTCACCCTGCTCGATCAGCCTCTGCGGGTTGACCAGGTCGGTCAGCGCGTCGCCGAGGACCTCGTAGCAGCAGGCGTGGACGGTGCTACCTGGGCAGGTCTCTGCGCGCTGGAAGAACGCCACCACGAAGAGCTCCAGGAGCCCCCTCTCCTGAGCAAGGGCACCGAGCTTCGCGCTTCGCGCTGCGAGGAGCGCGAATCGCTTTCAAAGCGATTCGCGCTCCTGGCAGCGCGAGAGCGCGATTCGGGAGGCGGCGCGAGAGCGCAAAGCCTTTGCGCTCTCGCGCCGCCCCCCAGGGGAGAAGAGGAGGATGCGGAGGAATCGGAGCTGGACCGCGAGGCGCGAATCGCGAGTAATTTCGCGCCCTCGAGGGCGCCCTTGCTGAGGGGGAACGGTAGTAGACAGGCGCGTCCCGCTATTCGCAACGTAACTGCTCGCAAATGGCCTGGAACAGCCGCGGGGGATTTACGACCCATTTCGTCGAGGCAGACATGTGCTTTCTTCTCGGACGTTTGCGAGCAGGCGCTTTGCGAGCAGTGGAGCGCGCTGGGTGAGTTAGGGGGGAGCCTGCTCAGGGGGGGATTGTCGGCCTGGATTCGGCGATTCACCGCTGATAGATGGGCGACAGGCCCCCGATAGCGGATCCTCACGCTCCTGGGCGGGATGGGCCACCATGCCTCTGCCAGCGATCAGTGGCGGCTGGGGGTGAGCCTAACCACCCCTTTATCGACCGCGCGCAAGAGTGACCCTGGGCAAGAGTGACCTTTGGTGCGCGGCTTTCTGGGGACCGCGGAAGGACCAAACACGAGCGCGCAAGAAGCTGCTACCATATCGCATTCGGCGATCGGGGGACCCCATTGGGCCCGCACCAAAGGTCACTCTGGCGAAAGGTCAATCTCACGTGTAGTCGACCCTAGCGTTGGCCCTGCTCTCCCTCGCCGAACCGAAGATGGTGTGCGTCTTGCCGCTTCCGGTCTGGCCGTATGCGAAGAGCGTCTCGTTCACGCCGGCGAAGACGCTCGAGGTCAGCGCGGGACCCTGCAGGTCGTGGAACAGCGCCTCGTTGTCGTCCCCAGGGCCGAAGACCCTGGAGAACTCGTACTCCTGCGGAGGTCGAGCAGGACGGCACAGGTGTAAGCCTTCGAGTGCCCGCGCGGACTTCTTGGGACCGTCCCTGGGAAGCGCGCCAGGGAGGCCGGCGCGGACGCGCGAGATCCGCGCGGGCTCTCGACGGAGCCCGTGCGTGTGCCGCTGCTTCTTCTCCGAACTCCTCCAGCGTGTAGCCGCGGTGGCAGCAGATCGTCCTCTGGCGCGCTCCGCCCTCCTCCGGGGGCTTCGCCCAGATGGCGATGCCCTCCGGGGCGGTGCCCGGCGAGGGCTTCACGCGGATGGCGACGGACATGGAGGGCAGGCCCGCGCGCCGCCGGCCGCCGTCGTCGCGGCTGGGGCCGTCCTGGCTGCGCAGAGGGCGGCTGCGCAGAGGACGCACGAGATGAAGGATCTTGCTGCGCGACGTGCAGTCGGAACGTGTACTGATGACGGGTGGTGAGGACGCCGGGCCCCTGGAGGCCGAAGATGGGATTTCTGGGGCGGCGGGCGACCAGTGAAAAAGGCAAAGGACTGGCCGCAGAGGCAAGGACACACAGGCACCCGAGATGAAGGCGCGCGTGCTTACTAGGCGCGTTGGCCGTATTGGGTCACATGATTCGTCGAGCGCTGAGGGTCCGGCAATTTGACCCAGATACCCAGCGCTCCAGCTCTTTCGATGCGTGGGATCCAGGAGGTTTGGATAACATCCCTGTGGACCCTAGGGCAGTGAATTCATCCTGAGGCGCTTTTTGATGCTCCCGGGACCCGTTGAGGGGTCCTATGCAGAGGCTGGAAATAGCCCAGAACCGGGTCGGAGCCTCGGATCTCTGGGCCAGAGGGCCATCAAGGGATCCAGAACATCTCGGGAGCGGCCAAGAGGGGGGTGTCCAAGAGGGGGGGTGCAAATCATGACCGGCGGCATGTGCGCGGCCCAGCGGGGGGGCCGGGAGCGTAATGAAACAAGAAGAGGCGCCATGAAATCTGGGGAAAGATCATGGCCCCCGCCATGATGTCCACCCCCTCCTAGTCATCACCCCCCCCTCTTTGCCGCCCCCGGGCATCCCGTGGGGCACCTGCTGCTGGCAGGCCAGCTTCTTTCTTGACGTGCCTCTCATGTGCCCCGCCGCCGACCCCGTCCAGGGCCATCCTGGGCCTGCGGCTGGTGCACAGACCCCTGAGCCGAGGCCTATGTTGCTCCCATCGTACTTAAGGACCACATCCCAGAAATCATTTCGAGCACCCAGAAGAGTGTCGAAAGAGTGTCGAAACAGGTCGGATGAGTGTCTCCCAGGGCCCGACACATGAAAACGTTTGAGTTTCGGTACTTTTTTGGGGCGCTCGAAACTCTTTCTGATGGTCAAGGCTAAATGTAGGTTGGGACACCACAAGCCGAGGCCCCGAGGGCCCTCCGTAGACATCCGACGACACGGCTTCCCCAATGCGCGGCCCCAACTTCAGCTCCGCCCCTTCCGCAGGTGGGGCGGGCCCTCGCCCCGCGGGCCCGCTCTTTGCGAACCCGGTGGCGCGGCCACGGCCCCCGTGGAGGGCGCAGTGAGGAGGGAGGAGGGAGGAGGGAGGAGGAGGGAAGAGGAGGAGTAGGAGGAGCAGGAGGAGGAGGAGGAGGAGGAGGAGGAGGTGGAGGAGGAGGAGGAGGAGGAGGAGGAGGAGGAGGAGGCGGCGGAGGAGGAGGAGGAGGAGGAGGAGGAGGGGGGGGGGGAGGAGGTGCCCGAGCTCCGGGCCGCCCGCGTCGGGCGCCCGGGGGGGACGGCAGAGGGCCCTGACCCCCGACCTTCCGCTCTCTTCACCGCGTCGAGCCCCAGAGGCCTCGGCCCCTGCCCCAGGACCGGTTTCGCATCCTGCCTCGTTCCTCGACGTCCCCGGGGCCCGGCAGGGGCCCCCGGAGGCCGAGAATAGCGAAAAACCTCCCGTCGTGACTTTTGTGTCACCACGCGAGGGGGTCTGGGAGGGGTCTCGAATCAGCTCGCGTACCTGGTTTCTCCGGCGCCTCCCAGAGCTGGAGGCGCCAATGTACATGGGCGCCTCTGGCGGCGGAGCCCGAACCAGCTGCATGCCGCTGATCTGGTACCCCACCCTACCCTGGCCCCCCCTTTCGTCTGACCCGCTCTGACATCTGACGTTGCAAACATCGGGGAGACGTGAGACTCTGGTTCGGAGAATTCGGGTTGGCCTGACGGGGCCATCATGAAAATGACAAGACCCAGTCTGAAACTTGACGCGAGCTCCCGCTGCACACATCCCGCGAGAACTGCACCGTCGAAGCCCAGGACGCGCTCGTCGAAAAGCGTTGGCGAATCCCAGTTCCTGGCGTGCTCGAGCCTTACGACTCCCAGGAACAAAAACGCCACACCGTGAGAAACCACGGCCGGGGCTCTGGACCCCCTCCTGCTGCGCCGCGCTCCGCGCCAGACCGATCTCGGAGGGTCCCAGGGCCCGGAGCCGGGCGAAGCCCAGCTCGAGAGAGGCCCGGCGCCCGCGGTCGGGGCCCGTCCCATGGGCCAGGGGAGACCGCGCCAGCCTGTGCCCAACGGCGGCCGTGCATAAAGGGAAATTAGGACACGCAAATAAATACACACAAATAAAAATAGTCCCCATATTTTCCCATATTTTCTGGGTTTCTGTCTTCCCCCCCACTTCCCATATTTTCCCATATGTTCCTGGGAATCGAGGATTACTTGTGTCTGTGTGTTTTTTCCCCTCCTGAGTGTATACAACGAGACCGCGCCGGCCCAGGCCCAGGGAAGCACGTGCGCGGCGTCCCCATCGCCCCCGCGACCAAAGAGGCTAGAAGCATAGAGACGCCAGAAACATCAACTTTTGGCGCTCTGCGCGGATTGCTTTGATCTGCGCTGGACCCCCCTGCCTGGCGCGCGGAGCGCGCCAGGGGCGGCGCCGGAGGCGCCGCCAGTGGGCCTCAGCGCGGATCCAAGAAATCCGCGCGGAGCGCCAAACGCTTATGTTTATGATGTTTTTCTTCTTCGAGAGGTGGCCGCATGGGAAGGCAGAGTGCTTTGCGCCTCTACGACGGAGTCAAGATGCTGATACATTCGTGTGAGGATAAATCGAGAATCTCTGAGGTCCCGCGGCTCCGGAAGACGTCTCCTGCGCCACGGCCTTCTCAGAGCGTTCCGGAACGCTCTGCAAAGGACTGATCCTCGTCCTGGCCCCGTCCGAGCCTTGCCTTTCCTTCCATGACGTGGCCCCAGAAAGTCTCGACCCATTCCCCAAGGCCTGCTTTTCACCCCGAGCCGTTCTGCTGGCGGCCCTGGCCAGCGAGGGCCCACGAAGGCCGAAAACTAGCAACAACCACCCGTCGTGATTGTCTCATGGCCCGAGTAGAGGCCTCCCAGATGGGGTCGAAGTAGATGTGGCCGGAGGGATCGCGCCGGATCGCCGATGCATCGCCGATGCATCGGCGATGCACTGGCGAAGTCGGCGATGCAGCGGCGACGTCGGCCCGGCCTCCCTCCTCCCTCCTCCCTCCTCCCTCCTCCCTCCTCCTCCTCCCCCTCCTCCCTCCTCCCTCCTCCCTCCCCTCCTCCCTCCTCCTCCTCCTCCTCCTCCCCCCTCCTCCTCCCTCCTCCCCCCTCCTCCCTCCTCCTCCTCCTCCTCCTCCTCCTCCTCCTCCTCCTCTTCTGCTCCGACCCTGTAGGGTGATCTTCTCGTGACCCGCGGGGGTCTGCCCTATCTGCGGACTGCCCAGCGCGCCTCCGCGAGCGCGGCGGGCGCCGCCGGCCCCGCGCCCGGGGCCGTGGCCCGACGCGGGGTCAGCGCCGCCATGCCCCCCCGGCCGGCTGCGGGGCTCGCCAGCGGGCGGTCCCAGAGATCCTGGCGTTGCAGCTGCTTTTCGGAACGGGCGGTGTCGCCCCGCTTCGGGCCCCGGGACCCTCACATATCGATCCGGCTCGAGAAATGACGCGGGAAGATGGGGTCCAGGGCTCCGGTCGTGTCTTTTTGCGATGCTGCAACTCTTTCGCAACGTCGGATCTCAGGGTGGAGGAGCCAGGCGCTTTCGGCGGCGAGCGGGGGGGGGAAGTGAGAAGGAAAAAGCCTCCTCCGAAGGCGGCGGGAGTTCTCAGGGGAACTCCGGCCGTCTGAAACATTCTCTGCCTCCCACGTAGGCTTGCAAAACTGCTCAGAAGGCCGGGGGACCTCCGAGCCTTCTGCGAAGGCGCGCCCCTTCTCACTTCCCCCCGGGCTCGCCGCCGACTCCTACCCAGGCACCCGGCGTCTCGCAGGAGTCGGGGCGGATCTTTGTTCATCCCTTGCGGCCTCCCAGGGCCCTTACAGGGCCCTGGGAGGCCGTCAGAGCGTGGCTCGGGAGGAGAAGCCAGGTCTCGAGAGTGGTCGAAACGGCTGGGGCCCAGGGGCAAACAAGTAATTACGCTACCGAGGACCCCCACATACTTACTCCAGATTTCGTAATAAAGGGAGGGGGGTCTCATTTCGGGGGGGGTCTTTTCCAAGCTATCTTGGAGGGCCTGGGGGGGTCTGGGGGCGATGTTTTGGAGGGTTCTCCCAGGGGGAGGGGTCTGAAATGGCTTGTCTTGGAGGGTCCAGACCCCCTGCCTTTTATTACGAAATCTGGAGTATATTATGGTTGGAGTGATGATAGCTGAATTGAAGCATGTAAGAATGACGTTGGTGGCCGTTCCGTGCGCCCCCCCCGTGGTGTCGAGAAAGTGCCACGCCTGCTACGACCTGGATGACGGGCTCGGATAGCAGCCGCGCTGAAAGACCACCACCTGTGGACCCCCTAAGATTACGAGAATATGCCACGCCTGCTGCGCGGATGGGCGGAATGGGAGCGAAGGGCGGGATGGGAGGGTGGGAAGGAGGACGGGAGCGACAGAAACCAGAGGGAGGAGGAACGAGGGCGAAAGGGACAGGGCGGAGAGGAAAGGGAGGGACGACAGGAAGGAGAGAGGATTCTGCTCTCGAGGAGCCAGCCGCCTTTTGTGGGCACCCCGCTGCGTTGCACAAAGCCTGCGAAGATTTTCCGATGGGCGAAGGAAAGTGGCCGCCGGGGGAGGTCGAGGAGGGAGAAGGAGGGAGAATAGGAAGGAGGAGGAATTGAGGGAGAAGAGGAGGGAGGAGCACAGGAGGAGGGAAGGAGGCAAGGGAAGAGGGGAGTCATGCCAGGGGGGCAAGGTAACTGGGGGAGAACGCATCTCGTTGAAAGGGAACCTACGCCGCACCAGCGCAGAGACCCCGGCGGCGCGGCGCGGATGCCAAAACGTGTTGTGCGTTCAACTCGAGCCAGAATGTTTACAGTCCTGCTGTGGAGGGAGCGTCACGCCGGGCATGCCCTGCGCCGTGGTCCGCATAGACGCCACGCTCAGGGACCACCCTCTGCGCACCCTCTCTGGTGTCGGGAAGCAGCCACGCCTGCTATGCCCTGCGCCATGACCCGCATGGACGCCGCGTTCGGGGACCACTCCCTGCGCACCCCCTTTGGCGTCGAGGAAGTGCCACTCTTGCTATGCTCTGCGCCATGGCCCGCATAGACGCCGCGCTCGGGGACCACCCCCTGCGCACCCCTATGGCGTCGAGAAAGTACCACGCCTGCTATGCCCTGCGCCGTGACCCGCACGGACGCCGCGCTCGAGGACCACTCCCTGCGTACCCCTATGGCGTTGAGAAAGTGCCACGCCTGCCATTCCCTGCGCCATGGCCCGCATAGACGCCGCGCTCGGGGACCACCCCTTGCGCACCCCCTCTGGCGTCAAGAAACTGCCGCGCCTGCTATACCCTGCGCCATGGTCCGCATAGACGCCGCGCTCGGGGACCCCCTGCGCACCCCCTATGGTGTCGAGGCAATACCACGCCTGCTATGCTCTGCGCCATGGCCCGCATAGACGCCGCGCTCGGGGACCACCCCTTGCGCACCCCCTCTGGCGTCGAGAAAATGCCACGCCTGCTATGCCCTGCGCCATGGCCCGCATAGCGGCCGCCCTCAGGGACCACCCCCTGCGCACCCCCTATGGTGTCGACAAAACCCCACGCCTGCTGTGCCCTGGACGACCGTCGTGCTGTGCTGTGCTGTGCTGTGCTGTGTGTGTGTGTGCTGTGTGCTGTGTGCGTGTGTGTGTGTGTGTGTGTGTGTGTGTGTGTGTGTGTGTGTGTGTGTGTGTGTGTGCTTGTGTCTTGTGTATGTGTACTGTGTATGTATGTAGGTGCTGTGTGTTGTGCTGAGCTGTGCTGCGCTGTGCTGTGTGGGAGGGAGAAGGAGGAAGAGGGGTGAGGAGGAGGAACGCGGGTGCGACGCGGGAAGGAAGAAAACCGTAACCCCATTAAGAATGTGGGGAAATACGCACAGATCCCGGGACTTCCTAAATTGTTCAATGCTTTTTTGATTTTCGTCTTCCCTCCAACGTCCCATCGTCTTGCATACTTTCCGCGGAATCGACGATTGCTTGTGTCTGTGTTTTTTTTCGCCCCTCCTGAGAAGCGGCGGGGGCCCGTGTCTCGAACAGAGAGCAGAGGCGCCCGGTGTCTGGATGCGGCAGGGCTGGGCGGGCGCCGCGCAGGCGCGAGGCCGCCGGGCGCCCGGCGTCCTGACCTGAGCCCAGCGGAAGCTGATTACACGGAGGGGGGGGGGGGGCCAGACCGTCTGACCTCCTCGCGCCGTGAAGGCCTCCCTGCTCGGGTCGGCCAGGAGGGGGGCGTCCCAAGGGGGGGGTCGCAAATCGTGGTTGGCGGCACGCGCGCGGCCCAGGGGATGGGCCAGGGACGTAGCGAAAGAAGAAGAGGCGCCATGAGATCGGAGGAAATATCATGGCCCACGCCATGATATCCCCCCCCTCGTCATCACCCCCCTCTTGGCCGCTCCCAAATTGCGTTGTGCGCCACTGTGTCTCCCACAACTTCTTCTCGCCCGTCGGTTTCTCATGGTTGTCCGCCCGACGGCCACAACCTGATCCTCGGTGCCCTCGGTGTGGTCCAACGACGCGTTCACCCATAATTCCCCCTGGTTGAAATCTGCACTTCCCGAGACAAGCATGAACATGGCGCCTAGGCGAAGGAAACTTCTCGCCCTTTTCGCGCGGGATTTGCGCCACATCCCAATCCTGCCCCGCAGCATGCAACGTCGACGACCAAAACGTCCACGTTGAAAGGGACGGTGCCGATTGAGTAAGATGGAGCCACCCGCCGGACTGACCAGCAATTGGCAGGTTTCGTGTCAATGGTGTATATATGTATACACATACTATATAGGTTTGCCAGTTTGGACCCCAATCACATGTGTTTCTACCATTCTACGTTGAGCATTCTATATTGTGCAATCTCGGTTTCGAAATCTACGCTGTGCGCCCTATGTGGTGCAACCACTGTGGTGCAGTCTCAATCCATGTGGTGCAACCTATGCAGTTCAACACCTGCTGTGCAAGCTACTTGGTGCTAGGTGGAGCAGTCCACGTGGGGCAATCTATATGGAGCAAGCTAGGTGGTGCAATCCACTCTGCTGAACTTGAAATCGTCATCTCCACTGCTCGCGCAAACATCCCACCCTCCCACCCGCAACTTGTTTGGCAAAACACATGATGCGGGGGACGGCGGCGTCACCGATGACGACATCGATGATAACATCCTCACTGCCGATGCTCGTCGCCGTGAGTTGATGGTGAAGGTGAGCATGCTGACAATACTCGGGCGTGCGCGATGACAAGATGACGTTGGCAACGCCGGCGGCAATGGCGAAACTGGCACCAGCGACGACGATGTTCAAGTTGGCGACGGCACGAACGATAACGGTGCCAATGATGGCAAACACGCTGACGATGCTGATGTCCATCTGTCGATGAGGCAGGTGATCGCGGTGATGTTGACAAGGTTGAGAAGGAAATCCGTGCGCGCGGAAGTTTAACAAATCCGTCAGACTGCTCATGCGCGCGCGGCGGTGCGAGCATGTGGCCCGCGTTGTATTGTTTTGCAAGGGATTCGAGCCCTCGGCGAATGACAGGAGTATCGCGGGTGCACCGCGCGGTGGCACGAAATCGCTGGCCTTGGCAGAATTCTTAATCATCCTATGGTTTTTTAGATATGTAGCATGAGCGCGCGGAAAGGAAATTCACCAAATAGTTGTTGCACAACCTTTTTTATGCTGAAATGCTTGCAAACACACGGTGTTCGGTACGATTGTGCCATGGACGCGCGCGTGATGACTCTGTGGATTCTTCCTGCGTTGGACTATGTAAATTTGCTATGAAGGAGTGCGCGCGCATCGTCTTTTTTGCAGAGGATGGCGGCGGGGGGGGGTCGATACTGGTCTGGTTGGGATCATATGAATTCATAGTTCGGATGGACGATAGGGCAGAATCACGTGTAAATCGCAATACGAAGAAAGGAAGACCGTTAATTCCGAACTTCCAGGGGGGGTCGATTTGTTTCAGAAAGGAGGGTTCTATAATTTCTGTTCGCAGTGAGTTGTCCACTCCATTGCTCGCGCAAACATCCCACCCACCCACCCGCAACTTGGTTTGCAAACCTCATGCGGCGGCGATTGACCTGTGGTTTTCCCAAAGAATTCGCAAGAGCGCGCGCACGCTTTTGTTGAACATGTGGTTGCTAAGCCCTGTGTGCTTTGTATGTTTTTTGGACACCCGATTTTGAAATCCTTCCGGAACCTACGGTTTTTGAAGGATTTCGGCATGCGTGCGCGACAACGCGCGCGCGTGCACTTTGGTTTTTTTTTTTTTTTTTTTTTGGGGGGAGTCGGAGGATTCTCGCGGCGGCGCGCGCGCAAGGG